CCCTCTCTAGAGAGAACAGAGGTTACGTTAGTAACCGAGTACGTTCTCTTACGAGAGTATCTCTCGTACTGCGTAATATCTTACGCTATGGGGAACACAGTGTAACACGCCGTGCATACAGGGATCCAAGACCAAAGTCCCAAGGGCAGAGGCCCGGGGCGCATGTAGTGCATAATCACCATAGACTCACAAAGAGTGAAGGAAGAGGGGCTAGAAGTGTCATTCCTTATAAAATAGCATCCAGAGGAGCTAATCATATAGATATTATACCACATAGTCAGGGTGAAACACTTTCAGCCTAAACTGGGTGGCCATACATGTGTTGACACTCATGGAGCTGCTGTATCAGTCAGTGAGCGATACGCAGGCCAAACTCAGCATCTGGGCCGACACAGCGGGGCAGATCACACTGAATTCTAGACCGCCAAAAGCTTAGCTTGTAAGGCGGGGACATCCAGGTTATAGTATTTTATAAATGTAGACGGCGAGGCCCAGCCCGCAGCCATACAAATATCTTGCAGGGTAATCCCGCTAGACCATGCCCACGAAGAGGCCACGCCTCTCGTGGAGTGCGCTCTGACACCCAAGGGACACTGCAGGCCCTTAGAGTTGTAAGCCAGCGCTATGGCATCAACTATCCATCTGGATAGGCTCTGTTTTGATGCGGCAAGTCCCTTAGAACGTCCGCCAAACAAAACGAACAGCTGCTCAGTCTGTCTAAAACCAGACGAGCGGGACACATAAGCTCTTAGTCCCCTGACGGGGCAAAGGAGACTCGCGTCCTTCTCCTCATTGAGAACCAGAAGGGCGGACAGGGAAATCACCTGGGCCCTGAACGGTGTGTTGGGGTATTTCGGCACGTACCCGTGCCTAGGTTTGAGTATGACCTTTGAGTCATTAGGCCCAAACTCCATACATGACGCGCTTACCGAAAGCGCTTGTAAGTCCCCTACGCGCTTCACTGAAGCGAGAGCCATGAGAAACACCGTTTTGAAAGACAGATGTTTCATGTCTGACAAATGGATTGGCTCGAATGGGGCACCTTTCATGGCTTCCAACACCGTGGAAAGGTCCCACATCGGGACTGAAGGGGGCCTGGGAGGGTTCAATCTCCGAGCTCCCCTGAGGAAACGCACGACTAGGTCGTTCTTCTCCAGTGGCTGGCCAGACGCCGGTTTTGCAAACGTTGCTATGGCCGCCACGTATACTTTGAGCGTGGATGGGGTTCTGCCCTTATCCAGCAGCTCTTGAAGGAAGGAAAGCACTTCCGTAACCCCGCAGTCTACGGGTGAAAAGCCCTGAGCTTGACACCAAGCAGAGAACACAGACCATTTCTAGGAATAGAATAGACAGAGCTCTAGCCTGTGTGATCGTGTTTAACACTCCCTCCGTGAGGTTAGCGGGTACCCGTTGATGGCCCATGCGTGCAGGGACCACAGATCCGGGCGAGGATGCCAAATCGAGCCCCCTGCCTGAGAGAGGAGGTCTCTCCTCAGTGGTACAGGCCACAGGGCAGTGCTGGCCAGCTGCATCAGGACTGGGAACCAGGTCTGGTATGTCCAGAGCGGGGCCACGAGCAGCACTGGGCATCCGTTTTCCCTGATTCGTTCCAACACTTGAGGCAGGAGCGAGACAGGGGGAAAAGCATATAGGGAAACACGGGGCCAGACATGGGCTAGCGCGTCCCTGCTCTAAGAGAAGAAGTTCGGTCACTGAGCGTTTTCGTGGGACGCGAACAGGTCCACCTGCGCTCTGCCGAACGTTTCCCACAGCAGTTGGATCGTCTGCGGGTGCAGTGACCATTCCCCTGCTGGGACATTGTTTCTGGACAGCCTGTCTGGTCCCACATTCAGGTGACCAGGCACATGCGCTGCTCTCAGCGAGAGCAGGTTGTGCTGAGCCCAGACCAGAAGGCGTTCCGTCAACCTGTAAAGGTTTCGGGACCTGACGCCGCCCTGGTGATTTATGTGTGCCACCACTGACATGTTGTCCGACCGGACCAGGACGTGGTGACCTTTTATCTGGGGACAGAAGCACCATAGCGCTTTGTCGACTGCTATCATCTCCAAGCAGTTTATGTGAAGGAGCTTTTCCCGTTCTGACCACAGGCCAGCGAACGGTCTGCCCTTGAGTAGCGACCCCCATCCTGAGGTGGAGGCGTCCGTAGACACCACCTGCACACTCGAGGCGGTCCCCAGACTCACACCTGACTGATACCAGTCGGTTACCTTCCAAGGTTTCAGGGCTGAGATGCACTCTAGATCGCCCCTTAGGCGAAACAGAGCAGCGGCCCATGACCAGGGCGGAACTCGCGCTTTTAGCCACATCTGCAGTGGGCGCATGCGAAGCAGGCCCAACTGAAGTACAGAGGCTGCTGAGGCCATCAAGCCCAGCATTTTCTGAAACCTTTTGAGCGGGACTATAGAGCCGTGGCGGAAGGATTTCGCGACGCGCTGAATGTCTAGTCCGCGCTCCGGCGACAGGCGTGCTGTCATGGATAGCGAGTCCAGCACTGTTCCCAGAAAAGAAATTTTCTGACTGGGAGACAGCGAGCTTTTCGCCCAATTGACTGTGAGGCCCAGACTCTCGAGGTGCTCGAGTAATGTGGCCCTGGGTTCTATGAGCTCTGATTGAGATCGAGCTAGAATCAACCAATCGTCCAAGTAGTTCAAAACTCACATGCCCCGGAGTCTCAGGGGTGCGAGAGCTGCGTCCATGCACTTCGTGAATGTACGGGGTGCTAGGGACAGGCCGAACGGCAGGACTGTGTATTGATATGCCTGGCCCTCGAAGGCGAATCTCAAGAATCGCCTGTGATGGGACGCTATTTGTATCTGGAAATAGGCGTCTTTCAGATCTATTGACATAAACCAGTCCTCTTGGCAAACTTGCGCGAGGATTTTCCTGGTTGTAAGCATTCTGAACTGTCGCTTCACAAGCGCTCTGTTCAGCTGTCGCAGATCCAAAATGGGTCTGAGACCCCCATCTTTTTTCGGCACCAGAAAATATCTGCTGTATAGACCCCCTTCGCTCTGAGCTTGAGATAAGGGTTCTATAGCACCTTTGCTCAGTAGTTTCGCTATCTCGGCTCGAAGTAGATGAGATACTTCGTTTTTCACCGCTGTCTCGACGCGCGCCGTATAACACAGACTCGAGGGCTCGTCCCGCTGAAGGCTTGCGTCGACGGCGCGGCTTCTCACTCCGGATCCAGCGATGCGTGAGGCTTCGCTGAAGAGATGAAAATCAGTGTACCAGCCTTATCGAGCTATATTTATAGGGCGAGACCACGCCCTTTCTGGTGGGACGTGACGAAATGGGCGCGAAGTGCCCGCATTGGTCAAGACGTCACGCAGAGCCGCTCTCGATAGGCTGCTGCTTTTGCCACAGAGCAGCCAATAGGCGCGCGAGCCGCCTCGCCTATGTCTGCTTGCTGCCGCAAAGCGTTTTGCATTGATTAAAAATTAAGGATAATTTTTGGCTTCAATATCTCGAGGAAAAGAGGTTTTCCCCATAGCGTAAGATATTACGCAGTACGAGAGATACTCTCGTAAGAGAACCAGAGGCTCTGTTTATATATATATATATATATATATATATATATATTGCATGTTCAGGTATACATACAACAGAATATTCTTGGGGCCATGAAAAGTTTGTGAAAATGATCAAAAATGATTGTGGTGGCTGGCAACTTTTAAAACAAAATGCTGGCAGGGTAGAGTTAATATAGATATTATTTCAAGTGAAACATCCTCAACCCCATGGAGAATGCCAAGATGTAGTAACTTCTACGTCTGTATTTGCTCTTAAGCTGTCAAATTCCTTCAAAACAGTAACTCGAATATTGTAGGTCTTTCTAAGCTGCAGTGAATATTTACGGTTAGAAATCCTGTTGTGTGGCGGGGAACCCCGAGGACAAATTTGCACACACTCTGTAGATTGTCATATCAAACAAAATTATACCAAATCAGAAAGCGAGCTGACGGAAGACGGAAGCATAACACGACTTCATCCAAACCTTTTTCTTTTTTCCCCCCACACATTTTTTGTAAAAAGCAGTCCAAACACTATTATCCCCATTAATTCGTGCCCGTCGACTTCCATGTTTGTTTACTGTGAAGTCACGTTTGACCGCAAGAGATTTTGCGAGATTTCCCATGTTCACAGTCGGGACTCTGTGAATGGAATCTGTTCTGTTGTGCTGTCTTGGTCACATCAAGGCTCTCCTCCACACACTATAGGAACAAAACTGTTAAACTATGATTTTTTTCGTCATATTATTTGTCTCTCATATTTTGAAAATCTGAAAAGATTTTAAATATCTTTTAGTGTGGGCCAGCCTTAAGGCAACCTCCTTTAAAACAGCTGATTCTAAAAAGATTTCTTAGTGCCAGTGAATAGCATCAGCTGAAAAAGCTCTAATGAAGGCTTTGAACAATTCGTCAGCAACCTCCAATTCATGCAGCATGGCCGCTGTGCATTATTCACATGTGCCTGTATATGTTTACACGAGTGTCTAAGATGACACGGCACTCTTTTGAGGATATAATATGCCTCCAGTGGAGAACTGAGAATACTGGGTACTCAAGTAGTCAGTCTACAGCCCATACGCAGATAAGAGCTATCAAAAGAGGCCAGCATGTCCCATTTTAAACCCAGCAAGGATTTGCCACTGTGAGTGCGGGATAAAAAGGCAGCTTTGATGTCTACGCCGGCTTGATTTAGTCTCCTTGTTCCTCTCCTCAAAGGAACCTATTACCTCGGCCAAAACCTGCTTGCTTGACCTCAAATTTCCCTCGTCTATGACATACATCCATGCAGAATAACAGTTTGACAGCGTGAGACCTCACAACACAAACATGACACTGAAAAGCCTAGACGGAGCAAAGCAAACCGGCATAGTAATGCCCTTTGAATCTCCAGAGAGACCAGTGTGTTGACAAAGCCTCTCCCTCTGCTTATTTTTTTCCCCTCTCGTCTCATCTCTCTCCCTCCTCTCTCTCTCTCTCTCTCTCTCTCTCTCTCTCCCGTTCATCGCTCCCTCACGCTTTCACACCGATGAACACGCTGTGTGATAATTGCTACATGTGGGCAACAGTAGATATCTCTACACAAGAACAGAGCCACGCTAAACCCATCGGATAAAGAAGCGTCTCCATCCCGAATCAAAGAGCTGCCATCAACGGCAGTGAACTGTAAAGGTAAAGGCTCCATATTCATATCACTGATTGATTGTTGCATAAGTTGCTGCTCACACTGGCTTTGTGTGTCTAGGATATTTGTCATAGCGCACAGTTCTCACCATCTGTCATGTCTTCTCTTATGTAGGGAATTGGGTGCAACTAGAAAAACAGATCATCTATTTGGCTTTCACTTTGTAACATTTATAAATGATGGAAACTGCAGTTTGTGATATTTTTTTGTTCTTTTGTGGATGTTGTTTCCATGAATGCTGATTTTTGTTTTCATTACGACGTACAGAAAAAAAAACATACAGAACATTCATTTTATTTGAGTTATACTGTATATGCAAATAATATTATGTAATATCAATTACTTAAACTACACCATTTTTATTTTCTGACATGCACAATGAAAACTGTTTGTTGAAGGGATTGGGCAGCTAATCCATCTCTCCTGTGAGGGCTTTGTAGGTTTGTAAATGTCAGCGAGGGGAAGTGACAGAGATGAGGAGAGACTTTGAAGCATCCACACTCACCACCCACTGCTCTTTTTAAGACACACTGGAGATATGTTTCATTCTGCTGTACAGACTCAACAACAGCATCCATTTTCTGCATGGGTGTTATAATCATTTACATCTTACATTTAATCATTTAGCAGACATTTATCAATCTTTGAAATGGTGAAACAGTCGTTAAAATAAAATCAGAAGCAAAATGCACATAAGAGACTCGTAACTTTATGTGGGATGTTTAGCAATGGGAATTTTCTTAGCAGAAACACTTGAGGTATGGATAACTAATCTAACAAAACTAATGCATGTTATTATAATATGTTATTATAATAGCATGCATCAATGCCATCTTGGTATTCATTTATTAACTTTATTAAGTTGCCAGCCATTGCCAGCATTTTTGATAATTTTCACAAAATGATCATGGCCCCCAGAATATTTTGTTGTATGAATATATCGGAACAGGCAATATATCAAAAGAAAGAACATAGCCTCTGCTTTTAAATAAATAAAAAAAAGGAAAAATGTTATTCTAACTTGATGCATTATCATTTTTATCAACACTTGAATGTGGATAAGTTTCATAAAAAGCAACATTTTGAGCAAAAAGCTGAGAAAAACACTTTTTTGTCAAAGACTACATGCAGATCGGATTCAGAACGATGATCAAAACATACGCTGTGTCCGAAATTGAATACTTCCCTACTATAGTATGCGAGAAATAGTACACCAACAGAGTTGTATGTCCGAATTCATAGTATTTGAGATTCTAAAATGTGCATACGATGGACACTTTACTATCCCATGAGGCCACAGGAGACGATTTATGAATGGAAGTGAAGCGACGTCACTGACGCTGGTAGGTCACATGATAATGACAACATGGCGGATGTAGTATGTCTGTTTTAGTTAATGCACTTTCAAATAGTTTAATTTTTTTTAATAAATTCTCTTTTAGAAATTCATTTTAATGGATGTTTATTTTATTTGTGTTAATAATCGATTATGCACAATTTGTAGTCCCACGTTGATCTGAATGCGCAAAAAGCTTTTAAATAAAATAATTTAAATACCTGTCACTGACAAAGTTTAACACCCCCCACCCACACCATTGCATGTTCATTTGTTAAAGATTTTTTTGAATTTTATATACATATTTTCAACATGAGTGTATCATTCTCATTTTATGAGAATGTTTAAATAATGTTTACCATGTTTAAATAATGTTGTCATTAATTTCCTTGAAAATAAGTGTAGAAAAAGTAGATGATATATCTTTTTTTTATATAATGTTTTTAATGACTTACTGTAGTACCATCATTTATTATAAAGTTCTACCAAGGTATGTTGAACTAAATTTTGGTGTCTTTGGATTGGGCCTGTTAGCAAAGAGAGTAAGAATATATTAAAACCAGACAGTGGCATTTGAGAAAAAGTGTTCCTCATGTAACTGTGCTAATGCTTATTGTTCCTATTCACACAATTGCAGTTCTATCCAATTTGTCTGACTTATGTCCCATTTCCCAGAATAGCCACTATGTGCCAACCTTTTTCAAACAGATGTCTCTCTGTCCCAGGTTTAATGAGACCTCACACCGATAAGGAGCACTTATTCTCAATGTTCTGCATAATGTGCTGTACAACATCAAATCACATGAAATAATTTAAAAGTAAAACAGGCCATGCTATTTTGAAGATATCTAAATAAAGTAACAGTGACCTTAACTTCAGAGTTTTGTTGGACCGAATGTGATTTGAAGAGACAGTAGCCATCACGTTACATAGGTGAGGACCTCAAAGAGGAAAGGGCATTGACAAAAATAGAAGGGAAAGAAAGGCATTAGCCTACCTTGCAACTGTCATGGCAAAGTGTGAAGCAGGGTGTAAATGAAGGTAGTGTCTCTGGGGCACAGATGCACCTTTCTAAAACAGGAGCTAAACCCTCACTGCCACAAACCCCTAAGAGAAATGTTCTTTTAGTGAATTACAACATGCTGAAAAAAAAACAGCTTAGTTCAGCCTAAGGTGGTTAGGTGGCCTCCTAGTCTGTTTTTATGGTTTTTTGAGCACTTTTAAGATAATTGGTCTTGGAAACCAGCTTGGTCAGGCTGGGAGACCATAGTTTAAAGTGTTTTATAACAGCAACATTTACATTTAATCATTCAGCAGATGCTTTCATCCTAAGTGACTTGACAAATGAGGAACATCACAATCAATTTATTATACATGAGTCAACATATGTTGTCTGTAAGCATTGCTGGAGAACTTTGATGGTTAAATATTTAAAATCTTAGGCACTCTAAAGGTTAAATATTCACCTTGTTTATTCCAGTACGTGGAAAGCAAAACTAATTTAAGGCTGGTAAAAGCAACTACATTATTTTTTTAACATGGACGACCAAAGAGCTTGGAATTTAAAAATAGCAAAAGCGAGGGTTGAAGATCAGATGGCATAGCAAATTGATAATGGGTAGAGGATCCTCAGCGGGAAACCTGACATCTCACTGAGCTCCATCAGACAGTAACACTACAGGGACCTTCACGTGTTCTACTGAGCATGAGGGTATGGGGCACTTTTCATGAGATCTTTTCAGTTATCTGTGAGGGAACCATCAAAATCAATGTGCCAGTTGTCACGTTACTGATTTATCATTGATTACCACAAAATATTTTTTGAACTCTCATTAGAGTGTTAGTAGAGTATTAGTAGATTGGTAGGGCTAGTGTTTCTTTACAAAGTTACATCACCAGCTACTGGCCTAGCATGCATAGAAGCCATGGTAACAAAGGAGAATTAAACGAAACAGAACTAAATAATGAAACTAAACAAGGCATGATCGTGACAATTTGATTAGCCTATATTAAATTATATTATATGTTATTATATTATATTCTTTTACTTTTACATTGTGATTATCCTGTCCTGCTATGAACTGCATTTCTAGCAGTGTATGCTTAACTAAACAGACTAAAATTCAGCATTGTGTTTTATTGCAAACCATTAACATTCCATTTGAAGTGAGACAGGACCCACAACTATCAAATTACTCAGCACAGAAACTCGGATTCCTACATCAAAGAGAAACTGAGAATATTAAATTCCGAGCACTCACAAAAACGGAAGGAGAATGTTAGCTATGTTTTTATTTCTTTGGGCATCTCATGGTGATTTTGTAAGGGTGAAACATCAGAGTATCTTTTATTTAGCTCCCTGTAGCTCCATTTGTGCTGCATGCATGCATAGAACATGAACTGGCTTCTCCCTGCCTAGATAGATTCGTCAGAGCATTTTATAAATAGCATGGCACGTGTTCTCATCCAGTGCAAGGAAATGAAGAATAAGCCTCAAGCATCCGGCGAATCACTAAAATATTCCCATCTTGAGAGAATTTTCGGATTGTTTGTCAGACTGCAATTAGAAATTCATCATTTCTGTGATGCTTTAGAAGGGACATATGGTTAAAACACAAGGGGGCTCATGTTATTTATTTATTTCACCCTGCTTGACAAAGATATTCAGTAATGGAAGCACTTTAAAATAATTCACTTTACTTTAGCGCATTTAGATTTGATCCCTGAACTTTTTAACCTTTCAGTTGTAATTAGTCAAATGAAAAAAGATACGAAAACAGGGTTGAAAAATAAAAATAAATTATAAGTCATTATTTCCTTTACCTTGCACTCCATTTAGCAATAATCAGAAACAGGAAAATATTCAATAATAAATACTACAAAACAAAAATAAACAGAAATGTGATACTCGCAACCAATTAAACTGCCTTTTATGTCAAGAACTACAAAAGCTAACCATGCAAGCACACAGATTAAAATATACCTTGGAATATACCCCCTCTTTAATAATATCCGTGGTAGACAGGCCTACAGTACCATGGCTTTTCTGATTTCCATCAAAGTGCACAATAACACAAAGTCCTGTTCTCAGGGGGGGTTTTTTTATGCACGTTGAGAGGAATTACTCATGCCTATTTTCTGTGGAGGAATTTACGATCCTTCAGAAAAAGAATGGTCAATTTCATGCAGTGTTCCCAATTAAAAAATAACTACATGTGAAAGCAATAGGTTGCATCATCTTTGTGGATTGAAATGGTAAGAGAGTGAAATTTTATTTATTTACTTTTTGGAAAAGGTCCTTTGTAAGAACTGAACATGCCTGGAACTGCAGGTGCAATAACAAAAGCAAAATAGCGTGAGTTATATGTTGGTCCAAATGTTTTATATTGCATCATGGGAAAAGGTGGCATCTGGCACTCTAGTAATAGTGAGCCTTGGGAATAGTGATTAGCAAAATATGCTCACTGATGAGAACTAGTATATATATATATATATGTGTGTGTGTAAATATTTATCATTTTCACAGGCAAATCAACTCCTCACTTGACTGGAAGAAATTGCATTGCAAGGACATTCAGTGAGTATCCATTTATCTTATAGTTTATGTAATAGTTAATGTGAGTATCTCTCTTTCTGTCGCTCTCTCACTCTCGGCCCTGATTGATTCTTCTATGATGTAAATATACATGCAGAATTCATGATAATGCCTTTTTTAGGGCCAGGTGCGCTGTTGCATTTCAATGATTCCCATTTTGAAAGAATATTCATGTTTACAATATGGTGAATCCACATCTCCAGATAATTAGTGAACATTGCAATGGTGTGTTGTATAATGCATCTGTGAGCATCAATGCAATCTAATCAGACAGGCTATTATGCACACCTGAGCTGTTGTCATTATTATCAGTAATTTGGTATGGTCTAAAAATAAATCATCACCGGTCTCTTATGAATACACTAATGTCATTGACAGCTGTTAATCTCTTGTTATTTAAGATTGCTTTTGTCTTTTTTCCTCTTCCCTTTTTTTCAGGGCCATGAAAACTAGACTAGGGTGCCTGTCTAACAAATCAGACTCATGCAGCGATTTTTCAGAATTCCTGCCTCCCTCTCAGGAGAGGTCCACAAGATACTTGAAGTGAGTAATATGTTGTTCCCTCAAGAAAAAAAAAAGGAAAATAATTAATTAGCTGTCTCATAACTGTACCTGATCATGTATCTTTGGCCGTCTCAGGTTATCCAATGATGAAGTGACCAGATGGGCAGATTCATTTGATGCTCTGCTGTCCAATAAATGTAAGTATGATAAAGTTTATGGGTCTGAATTATTGAGCTTATTTGCGTTAAATCTTCAATTGGGGAATTCGAAGAGTGCGCCCAGAAAGCCGCTTCTCAGACAGCGTGCGAATGCTGAATTGAGCTCTCTTTCAAGCCTTCTTACGCACACAAAATGACATAAAAAAAGGCTGGTTTCGGCGAGTATCCTAGTAAACATAGTCTGTTATGTCTTAAGTGAACATAAACAGTTGAGAAATAAAACGCAAGTTTAATAGTATATTGGATCCGTGCATCTCTTAAAGTGACAGCAGCCTAATAAACCTGCTGTCTTGTAATGTTAATCAAACAACAAAAGACAAAAAAAAAATCACTTACTGCTCTTGACTGAAAACTTTTGTAACTTTAATAAGGATTCATCTACATTTATTTTATACAGTGAAGACTATGCAGTGTTATTTTACATTTGATTATTCATTTTCTACCTAAAATGTGAAAATTACTGTTAGACTTATGTTAGACATGTTAGACTTTTATTTGATGTGTATGTTTGTTCTATTGATTTGCGCTGTTGTTCGTAATTGTTTTATTTGTTCTTATTTTATTATTGACAGTTTACTTTAACAATACTTAAAATTTATATGAGTTAGGCTAGTAGTTTTTGTTGTCACAACCTTATTTGTTAAGGTTATAGGTCAAAAACAACGAAGACAATAACTAGGCATATTTTATTTATCAATAACTTTTTTTGTGGTGGGGTCACAACTCACAAGTAAATATTCAAACCACTACTGGCCCAACCAGTAGAAAAAATCCTTAGCGTTGAGCCCTGTAGCTCAACTTCTTGATAGTTTGTGTTGTCGCAAAATGTAAAAAAAATAAACAATACTATCAACGAGCTCTACTCTAAATGCAATTATAAGGCATGAAGATAGTAAGATATATTTATCTTAAGAAAATATTTTCTGTAAAGCTGCTTTAAAAAAGCTTTTCTGTGTTGTGAATAGTGCTATACTGTAAAAACATTTTTTTTCAACTTTAATTGAAACAAAGCAATTATAATCTATATTTAAGTGAATTATGTTTTTATATGTGTGTGTGTGTGTGTGTGTGCGTGCGTGCGTGCGTGCGTGCGTGCGTGCGTGCGTGCGTGCGTGCGTGCGTGCGTGTGTGTGTGTGTGTGTGTGTGTGTATTGTAACACTGTACACCAGCCACACTTCTCCAAATCATTTTTACAACAAATTGTTTTTGTATTTTCAGTCAGTTGCATTTCTACAGGGATGTACTGTAGTTCAGCCATGATGTAGTTCACCAGCAAGTTATGTAAGAAGCGTTCCATATTAAGTAAAGGGCGCCATTTTCCCTGTGAGTCACGCTTTTGGCTGTGACTTCTCTCGTCGATTGCTCACAAAATGACAGGCCTTATTTCCTCAGGCTTAATTCCAGCATCAATTAGAACAGTGTGTGTGTGTGTCTTTCTTTGAATCTCACAGCAATGACACTCCAGACGTGCCACAAATAGCCTCTCTCAGTGCTGTTAACAGGACATTTGTTCATGCTAAAGACTTCTAAAATCTGTCAGTATTTAGAAACAATAGTCAGCAAACCATTTTCTAAAGCTGAGGTACCCCCTAATGCTAGGTTTTAAAATTCAGAACTCATCCCACATGCACAGTTATATCATGAACATTGATCAAATCATGCAACTTGTTGAGCAGAGTTGTGCTATTACTTTTTTCCCAAAGTGATCATATATTTAATTTTCACCTATTGGGAATAAAGGAGGGACCCAACCCATATCTGGGTACAAGAATGAAGACTTATGGTGATACAGTAGGTTGTTTTAACTTAAGCAACCAAGTGCCTAAACCGTGACAGACATACTGTACAGTGCAAACATGGTGGAATTTGCGTGGTTACTACCCAAGGAAAGAAGCATATCCCATATCAACTACTCTGACAAATAATTTTTGTAATGTTTGAGGAAAAACAGCTAAATGCAGCCACAGATTAAAACGCTTTCCTTGAGACACCTATTATAACTGACAGTAGTATTCAGACCATGCAGTTTCAGATAGATTGACTAGCAAGGCAAGTTTATTTATATAGCACATTTCATACACAATGGTAATTCAAAGTGCTTTACATAGAAGAAATTAAAATAATCAAAAGAAATAAGAATAATTAAAACAGTTTAAAATAAAAAATCAGACTGGGACAGTGCTCATTCAGTAAATGCATAGCTAAACAGATGTGTTTTGAGTCTGGATTTGAATGTGACTACTGTAAGAGCACATCTGATCTCTTCTGGAAGCTGGTCCCAGCTGCGGCTGCCATAGTAGCTAAAAGCAAACTCACCATGCTTAGAGTGAACCCTTGGTATTTCTAGCTGATGTGATCCTAATGATCTGAGTGATCTGTTAGGTTTATATTCAGTGAGCATATCTGCAATATATTGAGGTCCTTGCATTGAATGATTTATATACTAGTAATAATACTTTAAAATCAATCCTAAATGTAACTGTGAGCCAGTGTAAAGACCTGAGGACTGTGATATGTTCATATTTTCCGGTTCTGCTCAGAATCCTGGCAGCAGCGTTCTGTATGAGCTGCAACTGTCTTATGGTCTTTTTAGGAAGGCCAGTGAGGAGTCCATTACAATAATCCACCCTGCTAGTGATGAAAGCATGCACAAGTTTCTCTAAATCTTGACTGGAAACAAACAAAGCATCTAATTCTTGAAATATTCTTCAGATGATAGTATGCTATGCTGACTTATTGCTTTGACATAACTACTGAAACTAAGGTCTGACTCTAGAGACACACCAAGATTCCTGACTTGATTTTTAGTTGTTTGACCCCTAGAGTGAAGGTATGCATTCACCTTGAGAACTTCCAACGCATTCTCATCCTTTGGCGTCATATAGGTGACGCCATATGACATTTCGTCGAAATCTTACGCACATGGCATCCTTTAGCGTCAATATAACACGCACTGTTATGGGTAGGTTTAGGTCTGGGGTAGGGTACGGTTATGACGCCTTGGGATCTGCGTCTCATTTTCACGCTAAACGATGCCATGTGCGTCCGATTTAGACGAGCGTCACCTGTATGACGCCTTGGGTTCTGCGTCTCATATTGATGCTAAAGGATGCCATGTGCGTAAGATTTCGACGAAATGTCCAAAGCGTCACATGTATGACGCCAAAAGATGAGAACGGGCTGCAACTTCATCTTTGTTTCCAAACGCAATGACTTCAGTTTTGTCTTTGTTTAACCCTCTGGGGTCGGCGGTCTCGCCGGCGATACCAGCTCACTTTTTTCCTTATCAGTGCAAAAGAGACTCAAATTACTCTGTTGATTTTGATCTTACATATAAGTGTTGTACATCATTCGATCCTGTTAAGTTTGTATTTTTTTTGTGGAACCTCATAATAAAAACAAAGTGTTTTTCGCCTTTTCGCCTAATAAAGTTCTGCGTTCTCTCTGTCAGTGAAGTCCATTCTGAAACGTGTCCGAAAAATGAGCTGTAACTGCAAATACTCAGTCAAACAGGTATACAGGCACACAGGCATGAAGCCTGAATTATCTTCTTTTAAATGAAGTAATTTATATAAAAAACAAATTTTCTCATTTTATGTAATCTGTACGAAAAGAGAGAGATGATAGTCGTTCTTGTCTCAGCTCATTAAAGTTAATTTGACCACGCCCACGGAGCGCGCGCTCTATTCAAACACAAATGCTCTGAGGCGATCCACGCCCACACATCAGCTGGATAACCCACCGAAAGAGACTCAGATTTACGACGCTGTGAGGAATAATACTATCTTAATAATAATCCTGGAAAAAATTACCTCAGAGCAACGGATCCAGCCGAGGAATAGGTACATTCTTTATTTTCAAGTGCTTTGTTCTAATCGCGATATGAAATAGTATCTGTAAACAAAAAGACTGTTTGAATATGAATCGCATTTTGTGTGTGAATGAATGAACAGCTTTTACCTAACTATATTCCAATACTGAGATGAGTAAAAATCGACTGAAATATGTTGAAATAAAATATTTTTGAATAAGCAACGTATTAAACTGAAAATTAACATTTATATGTCCTAATCATAAAAACGATATGTTACATATGAAAGACAAGATGTCGTTTTTACTGTAAAATACTGCCACATCAAATAAGCTTGTTTGCTAAGATGTTATTATAGTGTTTGTTCGATTGTAGGCTATAAATATGTAAATATGTATGATAAAATGTATACTTTAATATATAGAAAGAAAGATTACATTTGAAATATAGTTTAAAATTTTAATTGTTGTTGTAATTGTAACCTTTTTATTAAAATAGCAAAAATATATGTAGGCTACATATAAATAAATCTTAGGTAAATCTTAAAAGTTCAATATAAGCCTCCTCTTTAAATTATTTGTATTGTGTTTTATTAGTGACACATTTGGGATATATTCCCAAACTTTCTGTAAAAACAGTATGATAATTAACTGCACAATTACTAGAAATTTTTACATTTGATATTATACAATTTGCAAGCACAATTTGAAAAATAAATAAATAATTGGAACTGTGAACCAATTTTGTATTATATATATATATATATATATATATATATATGTGTCATTCTTGTGGCTCAGTGACACACCTGAATGAAAGGGTCATTAGTATGCTGCCCCATTATGCGCTCATTATGCGGGCACATTGTCTTCTCAGGTGTGAATCACAGCAGGTCACACCCCTGCGCATATTGCCTTTCCAAACAAAAAGTGTCATTTTTAAATTTAAACCAATCTATTGTTTTATGTGAATGATAAGGCAGGATGATTTTCAGATCATTTTGAAGAAAAAACTCTAGGCGACAACATCCATTAGTCAAAAGTCTTGTGGACACATATTTAGTATGTGTTTTGTGGCCTTATTTCAGAAACTTTAAGTTTTAGTTTTTTCAATAACCACGCATAAACAATATTCTCTCAAAAATACAAAAATGTACATACATGTTGATAACACATTATGGTAGCCCTGTTTGTGCTAAATAGAGTGTAATTACACCTTTGCCAGTAATATGTTTATAAGCAACTGAAAAAAGCACAAATGTCAGAGTATGTCAAAACATCTCAAGGACCCCAAAAACACCTTGGACCCCAGAGGGTTAACTGAAGAAAGTTTTGGCACCTCCAACTGTTTACTTCATCAGGGAGTCAATGGGGCTGTAGTCGTTAGGCAATAGGGCTAAGTAGAGCTGTGTGTCGTCTGCATAGCTGTGGTAAGCAATTTGGTTCTTTTTCATTATTTGGCTCATTGGGAGCATGTACAGGTTGAATAGGAGTGGCCATAGATTTGAGACTTGAGCCACTCAGACTTATGGTATCCTATACTCACACAATAACCTCTCCATTCTATGACCTGAACCATTTTAGGACTATCCCAGAAAGCCCCACCCAGTTTTACAGCCTGTCAAGAAGCATATTATGATCGACAGTGTCAAATGCAGCACTGAGGTCGAGTAGTACCAGTACTGATAATTTGCCTCTATCAGTATTTAAGCGAATATCGTTTATTATCTTTATGAGCGCTGTCTCTGTGCTGTGATAAGATCGGAAACCAAATTGAAAATTGTTAACGTATCCATTCGAGCTAGCGAATGATAACAAATGTGTGACAGGCCTACATGAGATGTGTGAAATATTTAAAACTTACCACAGATATAAGAATTTCGGTATAAAATGTCTACCAAACACAAACCTTTAAGTAGCTTTACTCATCATTAGTTGTTTCTCTTCCTCTGCGAAGCGAGAGAAAATGCTTCTGGTAAATTCTACAAAAATCTCGTTTTGTCAAAGACTACATCCAGATCAGATTCAGAACGATGATCAAAACATAGATGGAGTAGACTGAGTCCATCAACACTCCCAAAGCTTCACAGTCCTATAACTCGTCTTGGGTCGACATTTCATTCAGTAACATTAGGCAGTTTTGATTTATATGCTTTGTAAAATTGATGATCGCATTATTTTACATATGCATCTGCTTACACATGCTATCGCTTGTTTCTGCTTTTTCTCCAAATGTCTTTTGATCAGCAAATACAGTAGCCTATATTTTTGAATGCAGCACAATAAATCAGAAATTAGAGACTTATTTTGTTCTGTTTGACACATTTTATCACAGAATGTGGTTAAAATGTTGTGACACTCTTAATTTATAAGCACAAAAACTCATGGCCTACTGAATCCCAAAACTATATTAATATAATAATGGTGGTGATATAATGATAATATTGATGTTATGTACTGCATTTCAATGACCATTATCTTTCTCTTCCTTTCACTCACTTTCAATTAATTACCAGGGTATGCTGGGTAAAATCTCCCCTTCAGGTAGCGTGATCTCACTGATCTGTAAAATGCATTTCAGATATAAATGACTTCCTGTGTCTAACAGGATACATGTTCCGCAGAAAATCACTTTATAAAAAAAAAACAATGGAGGCAACAAAAGAGAACATTTTGTTCGCTAGCCAGCAGGAGAACATTTAGCCGCTGTACTGCCTCTTGATTGTCCTTTCATTGAATTTCCAGAGAAGCACTATTGTCTAATTTTCCCAACCTGCTGTTTATGTGGACTAACTGAGAAGTCTACCTCACACAAAAAGGATACAGGGTAAAAATAAGCAACAGCAACAAAAAAAAAACATATGATGATCATAAAATCACTAACATACATGTTTAATCCAACCAGGCTCATTGGAAAAACATCCCTGTGGCGACATTTCTGCAGAATGATATTACGTTGCTTCTTGCACATTTCGCAACCCTTTCAAAGTGAAATGTGCAGTGAGTGATGCTAAAAGTACATTCAGTTTCATCTGAAACAGATGAATGTTGGTGTATTCTCTCATTTGAAGCACATCACAAATATGACAAAGAAAAAATTGCTTTTGATGAATGAAAGCAACTAGCTTAGTGGTACGTCCTGATTATATGCGTTCCTGGGTCAACATATTTAGTTGATCCTGGAACAACATTCCTGTCTGAAAATGTAATCCTATCTCTACCCCTAAACGTAACCCTACCCATAAGTTATCCCTAAATGCTAGGTGAATAACCCTGATATATAAGCACCTAACCCTGCTTGTAAGCCTAAACTTGACATAAACTGTTAACTTGTCCCTCAAATCTTAGTGGTAGATTGGAATGTTGTTCCAGGATCAACAAATATGTTGATCCAGGAACATGTTACACTTGGTGAAATCAAGTTCTGCAGCTTGGTGTCCTTGAGAAGAATTTCCTGTAGCCAGCATGGCCAAGATATGGCATATTAGACATGATGACATATTGGTTTTAATATAATAAGATGTTTATCCGTAATCGTATTCATCTTTATTTCATAGATGGTTTGGCAGCTTTCAGAACCTTCCTCAAAACAGAGTTCAGTGATGAAAATATCGAGTTCTGGTTGGCTTGTGAGGACTATAAAAAGATCAAATCCCCTGCTAAGATGATGTCTAAGGCCAGTAAGATCTTCAAGGAATTTATCGACATTCATGCACCCAGAGAGGTATGTTGACTCCTTCTATAAAACCATAGCAACTAAACCTGAACAAAAGCGTTTCACGGTGTTGCTAAATAAAGTAATTGCAAAGAGTATATTAAAACATTCCAATTTGTATGTATGCAATGTTTCCAGGGGCCTATACCATGAAGCTGGTTTAGGTGGATAGCCAGGTATTTTTCAGTTTAGTTTGCGCCAACCCTGGGTTTTAGGCACCATGAAAGTGGTTTGGCTTTTAGCAGTATTCATCGCCATAAGGCTGGATCCCAAATGGCACACTCCGCCCTTGTGGACCTCCTTCGAGTTCACACTTAGTGACGTCAGGAAGTGCAGACGTAAGGGGTGCTGGCCTCGAGTCCACAAGGGCACGCGAGAGTGTATTTTGGGACAGGCTTGATGACATCATCCCACCGAAACTCCTCCCCTCATTTATCTGATTGGGCGTTCGCAATGATTCCTGGGTAGGTAACTTGTGTGGAGGGTGCAAAAGTACAGGCTTCACCGAAGTCCGCATCAAGGGCAAAAAGGCGGCGCTCACAAATGCAAATGCAGAATAGGACACCCTACGGACTCGTATACTAGGTGAGCACGCGCAATTTAAGGCCACGAGACCACGAGTCCATATGAAGTGTGCCATTTGGGATCCAGCCCAACTTCCGCTCCACGGCTAACCTGGTCTGGGGCACGTTATGTTCCAGGTAAGAGGTTGCAAACCGAACTAGGAACCAATAAGCTGTGAGCAAATTGACACATGTCTGATGCGATAAAGTCACTCCAAATTAAAGGTCACTACATAGCAAATTATTTTTAAAGACAAAATCGTCTAGCTTTTAGTAATGCTTATTTAGAATAATAATTTTGTATGGTTTAGATATTATTTATTTAGGCTAATTATTATACCCTTAATCGATCACACATGTACATTTTTAGTTTATCAATTATTATTATGCACAGTTTAAATGAATAAATATATAAAGGTAATATACGCTTGAGAATCAATAGATAAAGCTAAAAAATGACTACATGTGAGCTTAAAAGTTAAATTCTTTCAATACCTTTATCAACTGTTAAACTAACTTCACAACTTTTACTTGCACTGATATAGCAATACTTTTTCTTTCAGTTGTCCTCTTTCATAGACAGCTATTTTCTTCTTGCTGTGTACAATTGTTTAAATTCTTTTTAATCTCGTAATAGCTACAGAAGAGAGAAGTGAATCGTGTTGCTTCTCTCGCGAGAAATGAATCACAGTTTCACTCTTTCTCAGCATGTGATTGGCTGTTCTCACACTGTCACACCTACTGATGTCACTCCTAAACTCAGGATCAAAGTCTGAGTTGACAGAAAAAGTTGATGATCAGCATCATGGTACCAACAAAGCCTGGTTGGATTGGTTTGGTTTTGTCAACTCTAAACTAATCCTGTAACCCAGAGTTTGTTTAACTATCATCATGGTACAGGCCCCGGGTGTAACGAGTATACCCTGTTCTGTTGTTTTCTTTGTGTTTTTGGTTCTGTCCTGTGACCTTTTCCTCAGTCTGCTTAATTACTTATCCCATTCACCTGTGCCTTGTCAATCACCTCGTAAGTGATCTCATTTGCTCTGTGTACTTAAGCCTTCAGTTCTCCCTCTGTGTTTATCTGTCTTTGTCAATGGTAACGTGTATATTCTGTGAGATTTTCCTGAGTTTTGTTGATAAAGATCCAGTTTCCCGTTCTTCATCGTATTTGTGAGCTTTTATCAGCACGTTTCATGACAGTCACAGGCATTTGTGTCTTATCCTGGCATGCAGAATTGATGTTATATAACATGACATGTTATATATATCATTATGTTCTTTTGAAGATTCTATTCAACAAAGAATCCTCAATATTAAACTGTAAACACATTTGTTTTCAACACATATAAGAAATTAAATTATTTCAGAAGGATCATGTGACACTGAAGGCTGCAATGACTGCTAAAAAAAATCATATATATATATATATATATATATGCATACATACACTTTTTAATTGCTTATACAATGCTCTTCCAAGTTTGAGACCTGTGCTATAAAGATTTTTCCTCCCTCTGAGTTTGTTCTTTAGCACCACCTACGCTCACTTTAGTTCTTCCCTGGCTTCAAACCTGAAGATCATCTTCTTGTTCAGCGTGACCTTCAGTTACATTGTGAATCACTGCTTGTTATTCGGGAAGCACAGCAGCACTGTCCTTAAGCATTCTGATTGTGCGGGTCACAGAAAACACAAATAGCTTCAGTTTGGCTCCTTCAAGATGAGACGTATCTACCAAATGTAATAACCCTGCTCTCTTGGCTCAGACAATGCACAAACTGAATAAAATTTGTGACGGTGGAGAAGCGTGAACCATGATCATCAGAGACAGTGATAGATGTTTTTGTGTGAACTTTGATGACCATACCATTTATCCATAGTCTATCCACTTTGGCTGTGCTGGGAAATGGTTTGTTTGATTCTATGCTGTTATCAAGAGTATTTGTACAGAATTTAATATTCTCAAACTCTTATATCTCTGAAGGTTAACATAGACCACAGGACCAGAGAGGAAACCAAACAGAGCCTTCTGGAGCCAACTTCCAACAGTCTCAATGAAGTCCAAGCTAAAGTGTACAGCCTCATGGAGAAAGACTCCTTTCCTCGGTTTATAAGATCAAAGATCTATCAGGACTTACTGAACAGGACACAGATATACTGTCAGAGGAAATCTGTTTAAAAGTTAATGTCTATGAAAAATGTTATTTTGCTTGCCTGGTTAGATGATATTGAGATAATATAGCAGACTTTAATTGTAATATATAGCATAGTCTGTGTGTTTACAAAATAAAGATGAAAGTAATCAAATAAAAAAGGTTTTAAAAAAACAACTAGTTCATTGCTAGTTTGTGCATCTTAAGTAAAACATGATAATGTAATGTACTTCTTTTCCCAGTTCTATTTGAACTATATTCTCACTCTCTCAAATGTAATAGAATGGTCAATGTTTCTTCTGAATGCTGGCAAGCATGTAAATGTAAATCAGTCTCTACATGGGTAATATGTAAGAGTAGAGTATGATCATTTATTTTTCTTAACTTCTTGTGTACACATTAACACTGATATGTTTTGATAAGACAACCTAAGACATGCCTGCTGTGTTACTGCATGCAGCCTCGGCCTGTGGGCATCTCTCATTGAATCCTTTCTCTTAAAATCTAAATCTAAAAATAATTATACACACATATGCACACAAAATGTATTTTTTTTCTATATGGCATTATGTATTGTTTATCTTTGTTTACTTTGTTGATTATTAATTTATTTAAGTTCATTCTTTCAGATGTAGATGTTCTAATGGTTTACAATGACATGTTCTCCAGTGATTGCTAGATCAAGTAAAGCATGTCATTTCAATTACTGTGTTGGTGTGTGTTCTTTTTGTGTCCCAATGCACTATGTACAGTTGTTTTGTAGCATTTTCACACTGAAAATTCTGGATGATACACTTAATTAACAGGAAAAAATGAAGTGTGGAATGTTGGACACTTGATGCTCTCCACTCTCGCAACTTTAATTACATAGCGGAGGGGGAGGGGCTATCAGATTTTTTTTAATTCATACACCACAGTTGAGTGCATAGTGTTCTCTCCATATATGTTTCTTTGCAGCCTTTAGCCACTGCCTACAATGAGCTGGATCTTTGTTTATTCTTGCACTCATACAAGTTGACAGAATTTTAACTGCATTTAACTCCACTTTTAGACACACTACACTCGCAAACTTCCCTAAGCACTTCCCCTCGGGAGAATCCCCACCGCCATTTTGAAGTGCCTTCAACTTCATCAAGTGGACAAGGAAAGTTTATTTGGCCAGACCCTCGACACCTCGATTTTACGTGCATTCACACCATGTTATAATGACCGTAATTATGAGATTTCAACCTGTAAAAAGTTTTCACGTCCTAAGTTTTTACAAGCTTGTTATTACAGCTTGTAAAAAGGGTACTTTCTGAGAGCTCTTACTTGTACCACGTGACCGCAGTACCACCTGACCGATGCAGATTCATTTAGTCGTTGATAGTGTTGCCATAGAAATGCATAATTCCCAGTCTGAGGACTTGAACAGAACTTGACGTGTTGTCATCTCACTACGGCATGGCATGAATGCAGCATTTGACAGAGGAAGCAAGGCTACTCATATGTACACTTCAGGCATCCATAGAGACACAATGCAACACGACTGTGATGTCACAACACGCAGTGCTCACACTTCATTTACCCACAAATGATCAATGGCTTGGGTGTTCCATTTAAACCCATTGCAAGGGTTCCGCTAGTAGTGTAAGAAGTAGGAACTAAAGCAAGGCAGTATTTGACTCTGGTCAAGCCTATTTAATAGGAGCTGACTGGGAGTGGCCTTGGATGGCAACATAACCAGTGCATTATAGATGTTGAAGTTCCCCTACTTATTTGGCAAAAAGGGAAGACAACCGCCCTTTTCCCCTGTTTTCTCTAGTCAGGTAGCAATCATTTTAGTTTTTCTACAGCATAAGCAGACAGATTTTGCCCGCGTTTAAGGTAACAATTACATGTTGCTACTTTTTACAGTATGGCATAATAGAATACTCTACAATAAATAGGTACACATGACCGCAGACAGATTGCAAATGTTATAAAAGCTCGTCAGAACAGATGTGAAGCTCTTGGCTCATTTGGTTTCTTCCAAGGGCTATAGCCCAGATGGAATAATTAGATCTTCCACCCCTTCAGATGAGTGCTCCCTGAACTGTTTAAGACAGAGAGAACATCTGTTGGCCTGGGGCAAAGTTCTCCCTTGAGGCATCGTGAACATATTCACGAGCCTCAGGCGCATGCCTCCCTATCAAAGCTATGTGAAGAACCTGTTCCCATGGGAGAAGGAGGGGAACCATTCAGGTGGGACCTCAGGTTAATTACAGCCTAATTCTCCATTGTTCAAATTGCCAAAATGATCTTTCTAAAACTCATCATTACAGCTGAATGCATAGGGTGATGCTGATGAAGGTGATGAAGAGAAGTGATGGCGTGTGCTTTCTCGTGCAGCCTAGTATGGCAATATTTTGATCCTTGTTGTTTTTATCTTTCTTGCTCCTGGAACAACATTCCAATCAACCAATCAGATTTGAAGGACAAGTTTATAATTTATGTGAAGTTTAGGCTTACAACCAGGGTTAGGTGCTTCTACAACAGTGTTATTCACCTAGCATTTCCCTCTGAAATTAGGGATAACTTATGGGTAGGGTTTGTTTTAGGGGTAGGGATATGGTTAGGATTACATTTTCAGACAGGAATATTATTCCAGGATAAATAAAATATGTTGACCCAGGAACGCATCTACCTCTGCAAATTCAGGATGAGAATCAGCTTGCATTGTTGATAGAAAATGTGAAGCGATGTGACAAACTCAGCCGAATATCAGTGTGTTCTCTCCAGAACAGGCCCTTGATGTTAACAAGAACTGTACACTTATATAATAAGCATAAAAATGGGATATACTTTATAATCTCCAGATGACGGCAACATTTTTATTTGATGTTGTAAAAAACATATTTACATTTTTATTAATATTTGTTTGTTTATTTGTTAGCAATGTTAAATCCACCCATCAGTTCATGAAATGAAAAGTTGCTTTAAGACTGATCATATTCTGTAATTGTTGTTAATGATAGGCCTGAAAAAACAGTAGTATGATAATTTGCAATTTACCTATTAAATATGATTCAAATATTCAGTTGAATAGCTACAGTTACTAATTTCATCCACAAAATCTGTGGGAATATATATATATATATATATATATATATATTCAAAGGTATAAGTATTGGCAATAGCCTTGATGGTACTTAGTAAAAAGTTAGTATTCAAAAATTAATAATTAAAATGACTTTTTTGTGATTCTACATTTATTTGAAGATTCAATGTGCATATATATATATATATATATATATATATATATACTATATATATATATATACATACTGTATATATATATATAATAAAATCACAGAAACCTGTGCCATTACTTATTTTTTTATTTTTTTATTAAAAATAATTATTTAAAGGCTATAGGGGGAAATAATAGTTATTTTTGCTTTGAGCTAACATTCTTTCTTTGTTGAGCTGTTAATGTTAAATAGTTAATGTAAATGTCCATGGCTAGTATCAATATGACATTTTAAATAAGATAACCTGCAATCTTATATTAAACAAACTATTAAATTTAAGGTGTAAAATATGAAATCTTGAAATTAAGATCAACTGAGCATGTAGCATGTAAGACCTTACATGGTTTCATTATTAAACTGTTCTAATACTATAAGTGTACTGTAAGTGTTTTGTGAATGTCAACCAATACTCAAGGTTTTCAAAACAGTAATGCCAGGAATCATCACAGGCCTGGCCTTTACCATTATAAGCTGATGTAGGTGGATTCCCGGACAAAATCCCCAGTCACCGAGTCTCAGGGCTAATTCATGACACCTTAGGAGCATTACTGCTGACAGGAACCTCGAGCGAGATATTTGCACTGTGCCGTGAGTGTGTTGTCCCCCCCCCCCCCCCCCCCCCCCACCCCCCACCCCCACCCCCACCCTGTATTGCTAGGAAACTAATCGTAGCAGAACACGTGAGCTAGAAATATTAGTTGGCTTTTATTCAAGGTTCTTCTGAGAGGTCATAATATAATGGCAAATACAATTTGCATTGTGTATATAATATTTGCCTATTGTAGAAACTTAACAATTAGCTTATAATCATAAATGAAGCATATATTCTCATCAAAAATATTAGGCGTATAATAAATCCTGGGAAGATTGGACATATACTGTATTTCAAGTATAATTACTGGAATTATTTGACCTGTTTTGGTTTCAAGGAGTTCAAAGAGTTGTGTGTCTGATTTCATTTGAGGATTGGACAAATGTTTTGATTAGAATTGAAGATCCCTTTAACATTTTTGTAAAAGAATGATCTAATATCATACTTGAATGATTAGATTAATACCACGCAAATTGAATATTTATAGATCACCCTTCAAATTCAAATATAAAACAACTGTTTGGACTTTAATCAATTATATATACAGTACTGTATAATAATAAAGCATAATTTGGAATAGAATATGATCATGAGTGATGGAAAAAAAAAAAAAAATATGCAACATTAAAAAAACAAGTATCCAAATTTGTTCAAAAGGATGAATCGTTCTTATCCTGATAATTCTGTCATTTGGAGGACACAGAAGTCACGGTCTGAAGAAGAAAGTTGCAGCTGCCTTTATGGCCCACTTTCCAGTGTGTTTCTGTAACTCTTATGTTAAAATAAAGAGAATGGTGCGTTCCACCCTGACATCCTGAAATAGTCTCAAAATCAAAAAGAAATATGTGATGAATGTACTTTGATCATTGTGTCATGTGAAGACTTATCTCTTCATTAAAGGTGCAGTAAGCAATTTCTGTTGAAAGTTGAAAGTGGATTGGACCGAGCACCACAACACACTTGTAGCCAATCAGCATTGGGGGGCGTATACACTCATGATGAGGGAGGAGATTGAGCAAGAGGACGATTTGCAAGATTTGGAAGATTTGCTTTAGAACCCGCGTAAATATTTAGAGAAGCTTTCCAGCACTGGAGAGACCCAAGCGGGAAGGCCTGAAAAACGGACGTTTCTGCTCCATACGTGAGTACCATTGGTTTTGTTGGTTTGGCAGGGTTGCCAACTTTGGGACTTTGGCTGGAGTGAGACTGTAAAATTTCAGTGAGCGCGCAGAGAAATTTTTTGGTAACCCTAACCCTAATTTTAAAAATGTCAGTCCTTGTTTACTTAGTATAAACCCTGATTTATGCAACAACAACAACAACAACAACAACAACAACAACAACAAAAAATAGAATGGAAACTTTTTTTTTTAAAATGTACAATTAATTTAATGATTGCACTATAAAAAAAATAAAGATAGAGGTGATTAAATAACAAATAACAAACATGTAAAACAACAACTTCTAAACAATAAGAAATCTCAAAACAAAAGGGACACATAATAGTTACTCCACCTCCCCAGAAAACCACAACACACAAGTTTCACAAATTAGGCCTGTTATATGCCACAGTGGCAGTCTGGCCGGCTTCACTGCCTCTGCGAGAGGTTTGTATCGGGCCTTAAATTCCTCTCCTGTCTTAATACGCTGTGGTCTAGTCATCAACAAAAAAATAACGGATTGAGAGGGGAAAAAAATGGATTTTGCCGTGACATTTCTTGCGTGTGCGTGAGAGCGTGAGATTGATGCTGAAAGCGTGAGTGTCACACCAGATGCGTGAGAGTTGGCAACCCTGGGTTTGGTCGACTAACAACGTATTCTTGCTTGTATAAACTCATGTGTACTATATGTTATTTTTTTGTTCTTCCTTTTTGCACTGCATGTTTGTGCATTTTGAGGGCGGAGCAATGAAGTGAGAAGTGTGTTTGTTTGGGTTGATTTCAAATATCAACAGTGTTAAAAAATGATTCTCAGATATAGCTTACTGTACCTTTAACATGAAAAAGTTAGCAGCAGCAACTTTTTTGTGATGGAGTAATTGACCTTCTGCAAGGCATATTATCTGAAAGAAGGAAAAAGAAGCTGTGAACAACAAGCCCATTTTCCCCTCTGCATGTCTTCCACGTCTCTGAAAAATTGCTTCCAGGCAGTGGGGTGAAAGCGAATGCCTTATGTCAAAGCAGACGCAGAGATCTCAAGGCCAACTGATGCAGAAGTTCCCTTGTCCTCACTTAACCAGATGTTTGGTCTGTTATATCCTGAGTGTCATGTTGGGCGAGAGAAAGACCTTGATGACGACATCAGTTATTGATCCAAGTTGGGATTCCCTCAGGTACTATATCATTCTGGGATATTAAACCTAATCAAATGCTCCTCGTTCTAAGCACAGCTTGATCAAGTTAGGTACGGCTGTCATGATTCTGTGGATCAATGAAGTTAGGCGTTTAACTTTATTAGACCTTTGATGAAAACAGGAAATACTCTCAATAAACCACAAATATGTTCCAATTGTGATTGTATCATGTCATATTATAGCATTTTAGGACATATTCTTTAAGGTAGGCTACTTATGGAACTGGCTTCCAGCTGATAGTTTAAGCAAGTAATGAAAAAGAACTTCGCTATTAGTATATCATGGGCCTTGAATCATTTTGATTTGCAGTCTCTTGTATGTTAAATTGCTGGCTGCAGTTCACTCAATGGCCACCGGTGTCACTAATACCTTTCTAAATTCTACATATTGCCTCTTTAAAGTATACAAAATATATTTTAAAAATTTTAAAACATCTTTATGTTGCCATACTGTATTATTTAGTCAAGCAGTCATTTACAACTGTGCATGATAAAATAAAATATTTCCTGTTTTGCAAACTGAAAATAAAATGACTGAACAAGAGATTTGTAGCTTTTTAGACTTTTTAAGCCAACTGTATGTCCATAATCTTTCCCTGTTTTGTCTATGTGATGAACATAATAAGAGACCATCAATATCATATACAGGAAAATACATTTCTGGTAAGTGATGTACTGCACTACTCTCTCACCACTTTACCAACATCCCTGCGAGGATTCAGAGTTGGGGATGTTGTTTTTACTTACAGTATGCTTTTCAAATAATTATATTTCTGGAACAGCGTGTGAGCAGTGCAAAAGGACACTAAAATGTCCTAAATTGGAGCACTTACATCAACCAGACTTGTGAATATTTCCATCACTGTGGACTTTACTGACTTTTCACATACACACAAATGCACAGTTCACAGTACATTAGTGTAGAGAGGACTGTATTATGATTGGCTGAGAGGAGAGATGACGCTCTGCTTCTTGCTCTATATAAGCTCCCTGTCCCTCTCTACAGACACACTGCTGATCATTTTTTCTTAGAGACACTGTGCGATGGATGTTTATTTCCTCTCTGGCTTTACAATGTACAGAGGAATAACAGGGCTGTCAAACACTTGCCTGGAAAGGTATGATGCTCATGTTGGCATTTTTAAAGCTATGTGTGCTTTTTGTCTTAATAATTTATGCATGCTAAATCATCTGAATGCTTAACAAACCTCTGCTCTTTAATATAATATCAGTGAGGTCTTTTTTTAAAATCCTGTTGTAAGAATCGTATATATTACAAAAGTGTACATATGCTGTGTATTAAATAAATGTTTTTTTTTTAACATCAGGGCCAAACGATTAAAGGCATGCGTAGGTGGATTTCTGCAGAGACAAGACTTGAGCAGCCTATGCAGATATAGAAAACCGAGGTACGCACAGTTATTGAATGCATTGGCTCCGCCTTATTTCATAACTTGTTCCTTTTTGCATGATAACGAATGTATAGTCCCCTAATGTCTTTCTTCTGATTGGCTGGCGTCTTTGCAGGTTGACCTTGGAGGAATGTCTGATGTGGAAAGTGTCTTTTGAGAAGCTCCTGTCCAGCAAACGTAAGTTCACATTGTGTAGTTAAAGATGAAACAAGTTCAAATTAAAGAGTTAAAGCAAATTATTATTATTAAGTGGCACAAATATGATATAGAAAAATTATGGAATCAAGTAAAAAGCAGCCTCGTGGAATATAACAATATAACATAAAAAAGACTGTTTCCATTAGGCTATGGTTTAAAATTAGAAGATATGGGACTGCTGTGCACAGATGTGTCTGGTCTGCGTGGGGGGCTTTAATCTGATAAGACACGTTACACAACTGATCCTTTCTCTCTAACCCTATTTTTCTCCCTCTGTCAGATGGACTATATGCCTTCCGATCTTTCCTGGTGTCTGAGTTCAGTGAAGAAAACATTGCTTTCTACCTGGCCTGTGAGGACTTCAAAAGCACAAAGTCTGCGGCTAAGATGCCATCCAAAGCAAAGAGGATCTACGAGGAATTTATCGGAAGTGAAGCTCCTAGAGAGGTAACGACATGAAATGAATCACCATATACTGCAGTATCATTCCTAAACTAAAACAAATTTGGTGTTTTAGTTCTGAAATTGCAAGTAAATTTCACAATTAATGACAAAGAAATGACAAGTAACAGGTCAAGACTGAAATAGTATTTTCTTGTGAAACTTACTCCAGTAATCTTTATTTACAACTTTCGAAAAATCTTTTTTTATTATTATTATTATATATTGTGGACAATTGATGTTTAAATTCACTTCTCATTCACTTTCAGGTTAACATCGACTACGAGACTCGAGACATCACTCAAGCCAACTTGAATAGCCCCACAGCATCCTGCTTCGATATGGCCCAGTACCGCATCTATATTCTCATGGAAAAGGACTGTTACCCACGATTCCTCAGATCCGCTACCTACCGAAATCTAGTCAACCAGCTCAAGGTGAAGACCGCCAAGGCGAAAACCAAAAAGGCCATTGCGATCAGACCACCACATGAAGAAGAAGAACCAAAATGAAAAACATAGGGGCATTTTGGCTCTACAGAAGATGGAAGCTCGGCAAGAAGTGGAAGGGACCGGTGCGGATCCTAAAAAAAGGCTGCTTGAGGCAGTCGGAGTGCCATGAGATGAAGAGAACCATGTAATGGATTCAGAGTTCATCACTGCATTCCCAGACCCCCTTTAATATTGTCCAAAATAGGGAACAGCAGAGCCACTGGTGTGGAGAGTTGCATCTGCACATATACCTGTACTCGGCACAAAAGATATGCCGATGGACTCTACCGAAGTATGCCATACAGCATACTTTCAGCCAATTATGTTTATAGAATGGAGAAAAAGTGTTTGATTGTTTAATGCATCCATTTACATCATTTATTAATTTATCCTTTTTTTATTTAATTACATTAACACTTTATTTTAATAGTCCACTAGACATTCTATAAGTAACTTTGCTACTACATGTCAACTAACTCTCATTAGATTGTCTGCTTAATATCTGCTATCATTTTATTTTGATACTCCCCCAACTGGCGGTTCTACTGACTACAAGTAACTTTTTATTTATAACTTATTTAGTAACGTATTCTACTAACCCAAATCCTAACACCTAACCTCACAGTCTACTAATACTCTGATAGTTAGTTGACATGTAGTTGCAAAGTCACTTATAGATAGTACAATGTCTAAAGTGGACTATCAAAATAAAGGTACCATGATACAGTGGTGTATCTTAATTTAAAGAATAAAATAATATAATGGAAACCATCATGAAAAAAAAAAACATGTTTTTAAAATGTTACAATATAAAAAGGTGATACCAGGGTAGCATCATGTAAGTGACAATCTGCCTTGGACCGCTTTGAGGCTCAGCTTAAGAATGTTAAAAGTTGGTGTGCAACTATTTATTTTAAGTTATTTTAGTTTTATAAATGTTTTTGTTACAGTTACATAAATGTTCAATTCAAATGAATAAAATTTTGACTAAAGAAATAATGTTTTTTTTTTTATTTATTTTTATTTATTTTTTTTTTTTTTAAACAGCTAACATGGTGGTTATGGGTCATATTAGAATCTAAACAGCATGTTTTGTTCTGTTGTTGTGCTGTTTTTATTCAATGTGTACAGAGTGAACATGTGAGGCCCCAGTGCGCAGATGTATCACAGATGCTTCACTTTCACTATGAGGAAAACAGGCTTGTTATGCACATGACTGGCCAGACTGAGCTTGTGTTTCATATTTAACCATGGATGCCCACGAGCAACGAGCAGCCTGTAGTGTAGGTTTACACTGTTGCCAAGGCAACTGTTTGGGCCTGGTTGCAAAAGCTGTTCACATGATTCTCTCAGCTCAAGATTAAGCCACATCGTTCCTGCTGACAGTAATGAGAAAGTTCATCACCCAGTTAGAAAATCAAATACTGGAGTTCAGAAAGAGGAAATGCATTTGATAACGTCTTTGTATGAGCAGCCATAAAGATTTGTTAGCCTTTGTGTTTGCTAAGACGTGTAATGAAATAAAGGGAGGTTGTCTGAGAGCCGGCGTTTGATAAGTATTTGTAAATCTTGTCATTGGTTGCTTTCACACTAGACTATGCATTAAACTATCACATTGCCTAGACAGTAATCACATGAATATTAATATTGATCCACAAAAAGCAATCACAATTTGTCGCCGAAATATGATTCTACAACGAAACAATGGCTGAATATTTTAATTTCATCAGCCAAATTGGGGCTAGATGATGGTCCAGTAGATATACACCCTATATGCAACACAACATTAGACCCAAGCTCATCGGATGGATGGTCCTGATGATTAAAGAGGGGCTACATGTACTTGAGTTTTGCGTTCCCGTAGTAATTTGATCTCATACAGGATGATTTTGAGTATAAAAAGATACATTACAAGGACTAAAATTCTATGCAAGACTATACGATCAGTGGGCTTTTAGGGTTTACATTCCACAAACACCCAATAAAAACAAGAATCTATTTAAATGTGGAAAATGAATAAATACATTTCCTTATTTAAGTTCAATTATTATATTATATTATATTTATATTATATATATATGAGGGTTGTTATCATTACTAACACTAAAAATCATAAAAAAAATAATTACTATTTTAATAAATAAATATGAACTGAAATTAGCCTATATATATTTTATTTCAGCTAGTTACCAATTCAATATTTGTCATTTTTGTTTAGTTTCAGTTGAAGTACTAAAATGAACAAAAATTAAGTATAATTAAAGTATATATAATTTATAATTGTTTATAAAAATATAAAAAACTAGTAAAAATGACAAAAACACAACAAAATTACTAAACCTTTAACTAAAATTAAAATGAAAACAGAAAATACAAATAAAATCTAATTAAAAATATTAACAAAATCCGTAATAGTATATAAATGATAATAAAATAACACAATAACACGTTATATAAACCTACACACAAATACATAACTGAATAGCCACTGTAGTAGGCTATATTAATATTTTAATTAATATATATATATATATATATATATATATATATATATATATATATATATTCACTATATTTATATATAGGCTAAGTGCACTTCATTTATCAGAGGTTTGAGTTGGCTATTTATATTCTGAAACCCTTAGGCAAGCCAGGGAAAAAGAAAACACATTTCATGGCTAAAACTGTTTACTTTGATTTGCATAGATGCATGAGGTTAATGAGTTCAGATATGGCGATTTCCTCCTTCGACTTTAACAGTTAAGTCTACTTCATCGTTTTTGTCTTTTGCAAGCAATACTGAATGTGTGATAGTCGAATACAAATGTAAGAACCAAACATTGATTCTGAATGATTGTATAGGCCTACGCCTGTGTTGTTTCATCAAATCCATAAACCTACCAACTTGTCCGTCAGAAGAGAGCCAGCGTTAACAGGCCTATTCACAGACTGCAGTGCATCCGAGATCCGACCTCAAAGTAAATTTAGTGCTGTTTGTTATCCCACGTCTTCATTGATGTGATGTTGAATAGAACAGAGCGCGTGATGAGTCAGACAGCATGAAGGTCATCATCACACACTACAGACATATGCAGTGAAGCCTCAATGCTCACAGTCAGAGGATCTGACGCACTAGCAGCAGCAACTGACAATATGCTTCACCTTGATGAAGCGTTTCCCGCATATTTATCAAGATAACTTTGCATTCCGGTGCATTGCATATGACAAACTTTAATGGCATTTGTCTTAATATATGCATTTTGACTTTTTTTTACAAGTAGAGGAATTTCAACCTTGGTTATTTCCTATTTGTAATTATTTACGCAACATTGCCGCCTAGTGGGAGATCAGCATCAACACTGGATTCCTGTGTCACCGGATAAATGACCACTGCATAAATACACAATTATGTTTACATTTACAACATAAATCACATTTATTATTATTAACAATACATATAATAATAATAATAACAATGTTTATTCTGTTTTTATATTATTTTATATGATTTATAATTAGGGCTCTTAATAAATGTAAAATGTGTGAATTATGCTTATAATATAGTCTGCATATTTTAATTTAATTTATTGTTAGGCATCTTAAGTGCATGGAATATACTAATATTATAGTTTATAATTATTTATTTTATATTATATTATTTTATTACTAGGGCTTTTGTAAGTGTGAAATACTTATGCTTTATAATTATTTAATTTTATTATCAGGGTTCTTAAAAGTGTGAGAATGCTTATATTATAATTTAGAAATATTTAATTACAATTTATTTTATATTATTTTATTACTAGGGCTTTTAAAATACTTATATTTTATATTTATTTAAAATAATTATTAGGGCTTTTAAAAGCATGAAATAAACTTGTATTACAGTTCATAATTATGTTATTTTTATTTTTTTTATTTTTTTTTGGTGTTATTTTATTTTTAGGGCTCTTAAAAGTGTGAAATACTTATTATAATTTAGAAATATTTAATTTAATTTAATAAAATAAAAATGACATGACATATATTTTAATATTTTATTGTGCAAAAAGTTATTTTTAAGGCACTGAGTAGTACCCATGAAGCAAAGATGGCATTATCCTTGTCACTTTCTCCAATTTCTTTCTTTTTTTAGACATAGTGGTAGCATCTTATTCTGGGGAAATTCGAATAAGTTTTTATAATGTGTGTCAGCAGAGGGCAGCATCTTGCAAAGAAAGACGACCACCACAAGAGTCTAATAATAGTTAGGGGGCAGTCATGAGCCAGCATGTCATGAAAACAACAATATGATGTAAGCACATTAAACAGCTGCTGAAGACCTGAAACCTTTAGTAATTGATACAAATAAATTATGTAATTTATATAAATAAATAAATATATTTATATATTTACCATAACTTGGTTACCTACCATGGTGCCATACCTCTGAAATATAAAGCAACCACATAACAATTGATTGAACATGCCAGTGACAATCACTATGCACCTTGTCAAAAGAATGCAGTCACTCGTTTGATACAGCCTCAGATGACCCTTTGTGAGCAGGAAATTAAGGGACACTGTGAACACACGCTGAGAAACACATTCCCTTGGTGCGGATAAAAAATGAATTGCTATTCCAAGAAGATGTTACGAATCAAGCACTGTCCCATCAAGTCACTTGTGTTTATGACAAAGACCCTCAGCCACTGTGACTCTGAGTCATTTGTTCCTCCCTGAATGCCTGACAGCATCATCAATAATGTTCTGGCTGGTTGAGAATATACTGAGCAGTGTGATTTTAATGGCAAGTTAACTGTAAACCCTTCATTATTACCTGGTGCTTGCACAGATCACTTTTAAAATTAATTTACAATTAATATATATTATAATCAAACTAATATGTAAGGGTCAGCCCCCTGTTGATTTGCAGTCTAAGCGTGGGAAATGGCTTGTTGCTGCTCCCTTGCGAAAAGGAAAAACTGTTCTGTCCACTGACCTTGTTCCTCGGGGCTTTGGAGCCTCCGTCTCCTGTGAATTAGAGCTTTCACAGTCAGTCCGCCCTGCGCATCAGCTGCCATTTCTCATTTCTATCATTTCATCATTGGAGTCCTCACTGTCATGGGAATTTTAAATAAAAATAAAAATTAATAAATATAAATTTTGTGGACTTCCAATATGATGGTGCTTTTCCACCACGCAGCTAGAAAAGCATTAAAAAGCATATAGAAATTCATGCTGGCCTTTTTAGCAGGGTTTGATTTTAAAAATTACGGAAGGGAAAAATGAATCAAATAGGCTACTTCTGCTCCCTTCTACAACTCAGTGTATAAATTGATTTCATTCTGCCTTTGGAACTTGTGTACAAAAGAGGGGGAAAAGGCCTGAAATGTGAAACACAATATAGATGCATTCAAGATGTTGGAAGCTTTTCAAACCCAAGAGGTGCAGTTCCGTCTCTATTAATAAGAATGCAACTTAAAAAATGTCATCCTGCAC